CAAAAAGTAACAGAAATTCCCATAATTTTATCAACTATTGAAAAGAGTGAAGAACTTGAGACTAAAACGAAACTTACTACTGAAATGGAAGAAGTCACAGTGAAAACGAGCACTGCTCTTGATAAGGAGACAACGGTTACAATGATGGCCGAAGATATGGAATCAAAATCTGAGGACACAAGCAGGAGCACCGTGTCGGATATAACACAGAAAGTAACAGAAATTCCCATGATTTTATCAACTATTGAAAAGAGTGAAGAGCCTGAGACTAAAATGAAACTTACTACTCTAATAGAAGAAGGCACAGTGAAAACTAGCACTGTTCTTGCTGATAAGGAGACAGCGGTTACAATGATGGCTGAAGATATGGAATCAAAATCTGAGGAGACAAGCAGGAGCACCGTTTCGGATATAACACAAAAAGTAACAGAAATTCCCATGATTTTATCAACTATGGAAAAGAGTGAAGAACCTGAGACTAAAACGAAACTTACTACTGTAATTGAAGAAGGCACAGTGAAAACGAGCACTGCACTTGCCGATAAGGAGACAACGGGTACAATGATGGCCGAAGACATGGAGTCAAAATTAGAAGAGACAAGTAAAAGTACCACATCTGAAACACAAAAAATTACAGAAATTCCTATAATTTCATCAACTATTGAAAAGAGTGAAGAACCAGATACTACAAAGAAACCAACAACTGTATTGGAAGAAAGCACTTCAAAAATGAGTACGACTGTTGCTGATAAGGAAAAAACTATGACAATGATGGCCGAAGATATGGAGTCAAAATCTGAGGAGGCAAGTGAAAGTACCACATCGGAAACAACGCAAAAAGTCACAGAAATTCCCATAATTTCAACAACCACTGAAAAGAGTGAAGAAACTGAGACGGAAACGAAGTTTACTACTGTAATGAAAGAACGCACTGCAAAAACGAGTACTACTAATGCCGATAAGGAAACAACGATAGCTGGAGATAAAGAATCAAAATCAGAGATGACAAGCAAGAGTACTATATTTGACACAACCCAAAAAATGGCAGAAACTTCAATAGTTTCATCTACTACGAAGGAAATGACGTCAACAGTTAAGGAAGAAATGTTAAGTTCAACGATGAAAACCCCTATGGTTAAGTCAATTGAAGAAGAAATGGATTCATTTACTCGTGAATCAACACCACCAGATGTTGAAGTGACTAAAGAAAGCGAATCTGCTCAAAGTTTAACTTCTTTACTTTCCCTTGAGCCTGAAGAAACAACTTTCAAGACAAAGGAAAGTACTGCTTTTAAAGAAACTGTGAGCACCGAAACACCTGGAGATGAATCAAAGAAAACTCCAGTTTACACTTCGTTAGGAATCACAGAAGCTTCAAGCCTTCAAACTCAGGAACACGAAACAGTTTCTGAGAAAGAAGAAATTTCCACTATTAAGACAACAGAGCCTGAAATCACCACTAGCACCACTGGTCATGTAGAAAAATTAACTATAAGTACTGAGATAACAGAACCAACCATAAGAACAACCGACTTATCAGATCATGAAAGTACCTTTTCTAGTGAATTGTCTGTAGAACCAGGAAAATCAACGGCTGAAACACAAAAAGCTGAAATTACAGTATCGGAAGGACAAGAATCAAGGATTACGAGTATCGCTCCAGATAAATTTACTGAATCTGAAACCGAAAGCAGTTCAATGCTTACAACTGCTGAGCTAATTAAAGTGGAAAGTACCACAGCCCGAGATAAATTTACAGAAGAAACAAAAATGACTTCATTTCATGAATTGGAATCCGAAACAGTCACTTCAAGCTCATCATCCGATGAGTTAAAAACCACTTTATCAACTGAAAAAGATCAAACGACAGGAATTAGTGAGGCTAGTCAGTCGGTTTCAGAGATCACTAAAGAACCTAGCACACTAGCATCAGAAACAAAAACTGAAGAGAGAACCACACTAAAGATAACTGAGAAACCCATTTTTAAATCTGAGGATATAGCGTCTACTATTACAAGCCATAGCGTAGCCGAAACTGAAGCATCTAGTCCAGTTACTTCAAGAGAAACAGCTGAAGCAGAAGATATGGCATCTACTAGTGTAACCGAATCTTCAATAAAACAAACAAACGTAACCGAAAGCGTTCCAGAAGTAAAAACAACAGAATATGTAAGTACAGTTACAGTTAAACCATCTACTATTGCTGGTATTCCACTCATAGAGAGGAGGCTTCCCACCGACAGGACAGAGCGTCCACTCACTGAAGACTTAGATCAAGTCAGCAAGTCAACTATTATCAGCACGGTATCAACCACTGGCATTCCTATCACAATGATCAGTGAAACAACAACTCCGGAGAGTTTCGAGACTGAAACAAGAATTTCAACAACAGGCGTTCCAATTTCAACGATAAGCGACTTATTGCGATCTCCTACAACTTTGGAGAGTTTAGAAACTGAAGAGAGAATCTCAACAACAGGCGTTCCATTTTCCACACTAAGCGAGTTATTGCGATCTCCTACAACTTTGGAAAGTTTAGAAACTGAAGAGAGAATCTCAACTACAGGCGTTCCATTTTCCACACTAAGCGAGTTATTGCGATCTCCAACAACTTCGGCTATTTTAGAAACTGAGACTAAAATCTCAACAACGGAAACTCCGTTACCAACTGTGAATGAAACTTCAGAATTCCCAACAACAGCAGATATTCTTGAAACTGAGACAAGAATCTCAACTACTGGAGTTATCGTCAAGAATCTAACAGAACGTGTCACAGAGGCTACTGAAATACCGACGAAAGCTTTCAAAGCCATTGAAACGACAACGATGTCTTCCAGCACACCTGTGACCTCAACAACAGAAGAGACTTCCAC